AGGGAGTCACCACGGAAAAGGCCTTTCTTGGTCCCACCAGATGGACCTCCTTAAGAGAAGGTACCCATAACACACCCAGCCTCTCCTCCAATCTTGTGAGTTGGGTAGAGGTCCTTCAAATGAAGCTGCTCTCAGTTTATGTCCTGTTTTCAACTACAAATGAACCAATAGAAGATGCAAACATGTCATTTAATATTATTTTATTTGTTTGTTTGTTTGTCAAACATGTGCAAGATAAAAGTACAAGTGTGAACATAAACAAGAACAAAGGGAGTAAATACAGATAAATGGGGACAGTAAGACAGGGACGGTAGGCATGCTGGTGCGCTTATGCACGCCCCCTTTAAGGATCTCTTAGGAATGGGGTGAGGTCCACAGTAGACAGTCTGAGGTTGAAGCTGTGAGGGGTTGAGGCTGTAACAATGGAATCGGGTAGGGGCGTTCCAGGCATTGACCACTCTGTTGCTGAAGTCGTGTTTTCTGCAATCGAGTTTGGACCTTGAGTTTGTATCAGTTGTTTGCCCGCATATTATTGTGATTGAAGCTGAAGAAGTCATTGACAGGCAAGGTGTTATAGCAGACAATTTTGTGAAATATGCTTAGATCGGACCGCAGGCGGTGCAGTTCCAGATTGTCCAGGCCCAAAATTTCGAGCCTGGAGGAATAGGGAATTCTATTGTGAGTGGAGGAATCCTATAGCTCCTACAGAATCCTACAGCTACTCCATGACTTAACTATTCATTTAGTGACCGAAGTTACAACGCCACTGAAAAAAGTGACTTATGGCCATTTTTCACATGGCAGTTTCAGCATCCCCATGGTTATGTGGTCAAAATTTGGATGCTTGGCATGTATTTATGATGGTTGCAGCATCCTGGGATCTTATGATCACGTTTTGTGACCTATTTGACAAGCAAAGTCAACGGAGAACTTAGATTCACTGAATGACCATGTTACTATCTTAATAACCGCCTCAATTCACTTAACAACCATCTGAAGAAAGATCGCAAAATGGGAGGAAACTTATCTATTTTACTTAGCTCTGGAAATTTAGGGCTCACTTCAGAGGCGGTATTCAGCAGGTTCTGACCAGTTCTGGAGAACCAGCAGTGGAAATTTTGAGGAGTTCGGAGAACCAGTAAATATCACTTCTGACTGGCCCCGCCCCCATCTTTTCTCTGCCTCCTGAGTCCCAGCTGATTGGCTGGCTCTTCTTTGGTTGCCCTGCACAGGAGAATGGAGCTGGAAAGAGGTTAGTGGGGTGGGAAGGGAATGGGGATTTTGCAGTATCCTTCCCCTGCCACGCCCACCAAGCCACACCCTCAGAACCATAGTAAAAAAAATTTGAATCCCACCATTGACTCACTTGTGATCATAATCCCAGGAACAAACTCTAAAGCA